AATTTCTTTCTCTCTTAGAGAGAATATGTAACAGGGTCCGAACAATAGCTCTCTCTTCCTGGCTTATTTGTTGACCCATGTTACCGGCCGACTGCTCACCTCTTCTCTGAGGTCTCCGAGGACATCCTCATAACGCTGCAGCTTTTCCTCCGGATCACTCGCTGATCCCCTGTGTCGGTTCCAGCCGCACAGCTCCCAGTCGGCTTATTCCCGTCTCGGTGATTCCATCCGCTTGGTTTTCCACTTAGTGTTATCACATCGGGGTCACCACTTGAGGGGGAGAGACACATAACGGACTCCAGACAACTCTATGAGAGTTATAAAGTGAAGACCTTTATTCTATCAGAAGCTCTGCTTTTATAGTCTAAAATCCCTTAGTCACCCTACATAAACTTTTCTGTTGGTTACGTATGTGTCCATATTGTCTAAGCTAATACATGACTGGTTACTATCTTACACACATGCCACCGCCCACATCCTTTTTCCGGTTTGGTTTACATCCGCTTCCGGATGGTTTACTTCCGCTTCCGGGTGGTTTACTTCCAGGTCGTTCTCTTGCTGCATTGCCATACTTCCTCATTCTTTTATGTTCCCACAACTTACAGTAAGACTCAAATTATTTTGCAATTTTTTTAGATATGCAGTCACCATTAGATGTATCATCTCAATACAGTTTTAAAGTTTTTGAGTTTGAAGTCACTACCTTTTCATAATATTTTAAAAATAGAAATATATTCTTACAGATACCAAGGCCATCAACCCATTCTTGTCTGGAACTTTTGCCTTGTTTCTAGAAAATAATTCATCAGCTTTATTGTTCAACAGGCCATACGTATGATTTCAGTGTGTGCTTTAAGACAGACTTGAGCATGAATTTAAGTACTTTTTTGTAATGGTACTTTTCATTACAATTTTCTATACTGGAGCTGGCAGGAGTTTGTTTAATACCAGTGGCTTGCAATTTGCACAAATGCTAAACTTGCTTGAGAACAAAACTGCTTGTTTTTAATAAATGGAAAAGATCGCCCTTCTGAAAGTATATATTAAATTACTCTATTATATGTTAAAATGTTACATATTCGTATATTATAATTATCAGTGTACTGATATACTAACTATACGTGGTGTTGTATTAAATTGTTACATTTTGAAGTATATATTCTGAAGGTATATACTACTTTCAGAGTAGTACATACCAGGGGTGTGTGTATGCCTGTGTGTGTATATGTATAGCCCATATAATGTACATACCACCAGAGTAGCTGAACCTACCATCTTTAGAGCTCAGCAGTTCTGCTGATCAGTCAGTCACGAGTACCTGGTAAGCTTCTTGCTGACAGTTGTGATTGCCTGTGCCAGTACTTCAGACCTTGGAGAAGGTGTAGATTGAAGCTGGAACTGCTCTTGTTCTCTTAACAGTATGCTTACCTACATGCAAAGGAAAATATGATGTATTTGTTACATATGTTAACAAAATCATACACAGGTTTATTTTTTCTTTCAAAAATTACAGAAAGTTTTGTTATTTCTTTTTAGCTTTAACTTCTTTGTTGTATGTTAACTTTCCTTGTTGCTGGATTAGGTCTGAGGAGAGCACTTCTGCCATTCTTTTGTCATTCAACGCTGTAGGTTTCAATTTAGTTACTTTTTATCAACTTCTCTTGGGTTTATGAGTAATAATCATGCTCCTTCTTTGAAGAAAATCACTTCAAATGTTTTAAGAATGAGTTGTCATTATCTAACTGCTATCAAGTTCAGGCTTGAAAAATTAATCAGCACACAGAGTTAAGAAAACAGAGGCATAGTTAAGGAATAGACAACTCTAATATAAACTAAAGTAAGGAATTAGGGCCAGCTGCTATTTAGTAATTGAGCTTATATACATTCTTATGCCAGGACAAGTGTAATACAGTGTATATTGCATATTGAGAACATAAGAGGAAGTGTAGAGGCAGTAAATTTGAGGTGGTCTGTAAATCCACTCTGTAGTACAGAGGTGATATGTTTTATTTTACTGTTATGTTTACCTTAAGTATGTGTGACATGTGCTTCACTTGCAACCACAGCTTGCCCTTAAATCTCTATTGACGACTGACAAGAGTTTCTCAATGTCTTCACTGACCTGGAAGAAACTTCCCTGTGAAATGTCTTGCACATCTTTAGCTTAGCTCTTACATTTCTACTGCTACTTTGTTTTTCATTTGTTAGGAATGACATTTAACAGTAGGCGTATACTTAATACTTCCTGTGGATGTTAGCTTAGTGCTATCTTCTCTGCTGAGAAAGCTGGTTTTGAACCTATGCCATCCCCTCTTCTTTTTGACAGACTTTTGATAACAATTATCTTAGCTAAAGGATGAGGAAGATTCAAACTCATTATGCTTCTTCCTAGTACCAAGCTATTCAAGAACAGTGTAATCTTAAATACATGAGAGATTTTTTTTTAGATTTCTGCTTAATACTACCTTTTTCACATGTATACCAGGATGAGGCTGGCTCTTTATAGATTTGCTTCCTTTCACCTTTTAGAAAGACTTCATTTGTGTCACTTGACAGAGTTGTCCAAGGACTGGCCATCTCTGTGCAAAGGATTTCCAGTGATACTACTAAAGATCATTTTAAACAGCTTCCAGCGTTGCTGCTTCATCAGAAGAATAGACCTAAGCCATATGAGTGGCATTCCT